GATTAAAGATTAACATTAATAGTACTTAATCACTGAATAGCAATAGAGTATATAGTTTCCTTTTCCTCTATTATTTAAGCATCCGATATTTAACTTGGCTTCGTCTACTGATAGTTTTGTGTACTTTAAAGAATATTCGTCCGAAAGAAGTTAACCCCTTGCCTTGTGATTTCTTTCTGAACTGTGATCGATTTAACTACTTTGTTTATTGAAAATAAAAAAAATCCTAGTCTTATTTTATGTCAACGTTTGCTATAAGGTATAATCATTGATAACAGAAGAATTGTATGTAATTTGCATTCAAACAAATAGAATAATATTTAAGTTTATTAAGTTCTATTTGAAAACTTCACTATGAGCCTGATACGATATTGCAGAACAAGGGATTAGTGTATTCGCAATCAGAAAATTTTTCTAATACTCTTTGGTGAGGAAGAAGGAAATTTTAGGCTAATCGTCACAAGTTTCTGACATTGAAACGGAGACAAAAATTCGAGAATTTGTTTTGAAATTTTGGTCTTGTAACGGTCTGTTGTTTGAGGTGAAGAACCTTTACGTTAAACCTTGCCCTACGATTTCTTTCACAGCTGTGCTTGACAAAATGACTTCACTGTTAATCATTTATTGGAAGAATAAATTTCATTCGTAATCGAAAACAATGAATAATATTTTGATTTGTCGAATTTAGTTTAAAATTTTCATCACAAGTCTGACACGATGTTATAGGACAAAGGATTAAAGAAATTGCGAATGAGAAAGAGCAGAAAAATACGATATTTTGAAAGACGTGAATTCACGTCAACGGCAACCAAGAGTAATGTGTTAAGTAACTAGAACTGACGAGCGTTTTATATGATTAATATGTGATTCTTATAAAAATTGTAGCAATAGATTTTTTTCGGTTTCTTCGTGTAGGTTAATTCCGGGTGAGATGGCCCGACCGTATTTACATTCTCAAATATCTGTATTTTCAATTGTTTTTACTAATATATTGAATTTTGGAAGCTTGTTTAACACGTTGACTGCCACGAGAATTCCGAACGTTTTGTGTAACAATACATATTCTTTCATAGCAAAGGCAAATGGTATTAGAAATAATTATTAATGACTTGGTATCTCAGTACACGTGTCACACTATCATCTGGCTGTTTGTGTTACTAAATATTTTTATTCGATATCAGTTTTCTTATTGTAATTGTATTTAAGCAATTTTGATGCTCCGATTACCGATGACCACCGCGGCAGTCAACGTGGTAACTATTCTTTTTATATGTATTCAAGTGCTTTCACAAATATATTTACTTTTTGTTAAGTATTAATGACATTTATGATATAACGGTAGTTTTAAAAATATTGGGCCATTTCTCTCCGATTTACCCTTCATTATAGGATTCAAGTGAAACTATTTACTTTTACAATCATTTCGGATATTTCACACTTCCAAGATATCGATCATTGAGAAATAAGGAAAATGAAGAAATATCAACAATTAAGAGATAAAAAAACTGAAATCTGTCATATCAACGGGTGCGGTAGTTCTGGCGTTAATAATATTAGGTTAGTTTATAAGTAATGTTTTTTCGTGCTGGCTCCCAGTGTGAAAAATAAATATATACGTCTTTTTTAAATCGCCAATGTATTGATCATCATTGTGTATGAGCTTTCTTCATTTCTCGGTTAATTTGTTAATGCCATCTTGGAAATATTATTTATTTATTGCATTTATTGCTCATACACAGCAGGAATTATCAATCATCAAACCTTTATGTTTCAACTGGTTAATGCAACAGATATCAAAACCCATCATCTTGTTTCTCTGTCTTCTTCGTTTACTATTCGAGTCGTTGAAAGCGGTTCTCCGGGAAGAAGATCCAGTTAAACTCGAAACCATTGATCTTTTCTTCTCCTTACCTTAACCAGTTTCTCGTCCGTTATAATTCCATGAAGTACATATTGTTGTTGTGATTGCGATTAATTTAAATGAAATCTTGTGAGAAGTTCGTTGCGTTCTCACGCCATACTTGATCTACACATATATACTTATGTATGCATTTATTCAAACGAATAAAAATAACACCAGTGTTTCTCTTTCCATACATATTACTGTTAAAAACATTTAAAAGTTAAATTTCATTTAGTACATGTATTTTACTATTATTATATTTGACATTAACGAACTTAAAAAATTGTAATATTTCTATTGCTTCTTTACTATTAAATAATCGTTAAAGTTCAAAACGAACGTCATTGAAGCTTTAACATTAGAACTACCGAGCGTTTAACATAATTAATATATAATCCTTATAAAAATTGTAACGATACGTTTCTTTTTCAGTTTCTTCGTGTACTTATTATAGTATACAAGTAAAACCATTTACTTTTAAAATCATTTCTGATATTTGATACGTTTAATACATCAATAATTGTGAAATAAGAAAACTGAAACCCGTCATCTTAACACGTCGAGTGCCGCACGATTTTGCCGAGACAAATATATAAAATGAAAATAATGTAATATCAATTTATGTAATTGAATTACGTTGTTATTATTGCAGATACGAAACGTTTAATGTTAGTCTATTAAGTGGTATTACGTATAATATAGAAAAATTTTCAAATAATCGTCGTTTAATCGAACGAATTATAGTAATTCGATTTGGTTGAGGTCACCGGGAACCCCCATGTCATTCAACCAGTTAATAGCATTTCGATTAAGCATTATTAGATTATTGAAGATATCGAAAATTCTCAGAGAATTAGAGTAAAACGTATAGAAATTATAGAGAACGCCATTAATCGTTTCTACTATGCTATTTCAGGTAACTACTTTACTAACAGTAAATACAATCTACATTATCAACCTGATTACCAGTCAATGCTCTACATTATCGACACACCAGTACTACACATTAGAGCATGCGCCATATTTGTACCGTTCTCCATTATTACATTTAACTCGTAATTACATAGCTTGAGAAGATATGTAATTCGTAATTATTGTTTCTAACATTATCTAGGCTCTAAGTTATGCTTATGCAATATTATTAGTAGAGTGAATTGTGTCGCAGTTTGTAAGTGAAATAGATGAATAGTAACAAGTACTGTCAGCTGGGAGTGTGGCGGCTCCTGTAATCCGGCTACTCGGAGGCTAGTTATGTCGGAGGGTCTGAGGTCGAGGGTCCCTGTTGGTACGGGATTCACGTCGACGGGGCGTCCGCACTAAGCTCGCCATCAATATGGGCACCCTCGAGGAATCGAGGGTGGCCAGGTTGGCTAAGGAGAGGCGAACCGGGCCAGAGGGGAAACCCAGCAGCCAAAAGTCTCTGTGGCGGGCAGTAGTGGGATCGCGCCCCGGAGTGGGACCGCATCGGCAGCTTGGTCAATATGACTCGACACATAACTTTTTTTTCTACTTTTTTTTAAAACATTTTCGACACTAATCAAGCACATATAATGGCAAACCGTTGAATTGTATTTTATTTTAACATTTCTTTTATAATTCTCGCTGTCATATATTAACCCTTTGAACTCTGTAGGCTCGAATATTGCACCAGTTCTGATATTAAATATTTCAATGAATTTTAAGAAAACTACTACCTTAAGATTATTAGATCTTCCAAATATACAAAGTTTGTACTAAGAAGGGAATTAAAGGTCTAAGAAATGTTGTAACATTGTTAATTCTCAGTAGAACTACTATCAAAATTGGTAGGAGTTGCTGACATATCACAAAACTATGTGGAGTGCTAAGGGTTAAACCTTT